ATTGGAACCCGCGAAAGCCACACAAGCCAACTGGAGAACAAATTGTGTTGAAAAGAGTTGTAAGATGAGTTTCTTTCGTCTTTCAGACACTCCCACGGATACTGCGAGAGCTCGGTTGATAGTCAAAAGAACAGCAAACGTTGCACTTACTGTAAAAGATGATGGTTAAGACAAACCGTTCTCTTCTCTTTTTCCTTACTGGCTACCAAGGCTACTTCAAGCCAAGCTTGAGCTATGCTGCTTATTATGCCGAAACGAGTGAAGAATCCTACAGAATACCCACTGGTGCATGGAAGGATAAGATATGGTTGGAAACCGAGCGTCAAAAAAAGTTGAGCGATCGCACTTCTAAATGAGAACAGTTATTTGAATTCAGGGAAAAACACTTACGACAAATCATGCCCATGCATGGCGAACCTGGCCATTGTTGTCAGTTTGGTCGGGACAGTTATGAGCAGATACAATGAAACGAATATGATCACGAAACCCAATAGAGAAGAGCTGTACAAGAAGATGATGTAGAGTTCCATGTTAACTCACAACTATGAAAACGTTTCGTTTTCAATTGTGACGAAATTTGTGCTGCTATGCTCATACTACGATTCTCTATTGATACATTTTATACAATAGCGAACAACAGCCCAGGCATACATGCTTCAGTTGGTATTAGTTATCATGAACTACAAACCATGCAGCATGATTTCGTTTCCATTGGTTATGTTCTCACCTGGGTAACAAGCTCGATTTCTACACTTCTATGAAGACGAGGCATAATGAAAATGCAGAGAAGCAAAACATTAGCAGCCCACAATGGGCTATATGTCATTTTTAGGAGAACTGCATTCTTTCCGAATTCAGGAAGCTGGAAGGAGTGACCAAGTCAACTAACATGGTCATTCACAATATGCTTGGAAAGCTTCCTTTACCTTTGGGCTCAATATGAATTTCTGGCTTGAGACAGTAAAGGAATTACAGCTTCTTTCATACTCATTTCATAGTCAACGGTAAGTGAAGCTCATCTTCTCCTGGCACATTAACGGAGAGTTGTCTGTTCTTCGGGAGTAAGGATGTCACACTACCCTGAGTATCGGAATGAAAACTCAGCGATGTGTTTTCTCTTCGTTCTGTTCCTCCTTTAGTATAGACAAGCAAAGACCTTCAAGCAAACCTTCCAAGACATTCGTCTATCGGACCTGATGTA